CGACGTAAAAGAAAACATTGAATTGTAACGTCTAATGTTTTTCATGAAGTGTTTGCTTTTAGAATCCATATTTCGAAACATTATTTCATAACTTGGGGGTGCTCTCTTTAAATCTGGAAGTTGAACTTTTCCGTAACCACAACATAAAGAATAATCTGTGTTCCCCTTTTTCTTTACCTCTAATGGATTCATTTCTCCATAACTTTGCATGACATGTTTGACATACAACATTTTGATCACCATGATCCAAATATTCTGTAAAATAAAAGTTGATGAAAAAAATATTAGTGAAATTTATAAGTATATACAACCCAGTATTCGAAATGTAAAAAAAAATGAAAATGATTATTATTTTTTTATTACCATTTGGGATACCAACTATAAGGTTTTCATTTATGACTTGATGTATATTTTCTACATTTTTTGTCAAATCAATCAACGGGATAGGGGATAAATGTGTCGTCTTTCTTTTTAATTTATGACATTATGGATTTAACTTGATTGATGATGAAGAAGCAGTTATTGTAGATGCATTTTTTGATGTCATATCATTTGAAAGTACATAGTACTGTCTTTTGTCTGGTAACTTGGAAGTGACATATTTATCGAAACCGATGTTATCTGAAGAAAATAAATAAAATAAGTATATATATACTTATATCCGGATTATAAAGAAAATTAATAATAGTATATTTTAAAAACAATAAATTATTACCATTTGTAATGTTAGATAACGGATTTCTAACATTTGTAATGTTAGATAATAGAGTTCTAACATTTGTAAAGGAAGGAGAGTATTGTACGGTTGTATTTTGGATTCCGGGTGAATTAAATGAATTGACATTTTGAGTTTGACCAACAATGTTGGTTGATTGATCTGCAAATAACAAAAATTTATGAAAACTAAACACATATGTATAAAACATATTAACAACCTGCAATCATATAATATTACAAGATAATTAAAAAAATATGAGAAATCATTTATTGTATATAAATGTAAAATAACCGTAAAACATGGAATAAAAAAATAATAGGATTATAATTAATTATATTTTTTAAGAGATGCGATATTGATGTACTTGGAACGTTGGATGTTGTATTCATTTTCTTCGATCTTTTATTTTGCAAATATATTTTTCTTTGTTTTCTTTTCTCTCTGGCTTGCAAGTGGCACATGTTATTGCTGTTTTCTGCATAACAGATAATATGACAGGATATGAAATGTATAATTACGTAAATAATATGTTTATATAATAATATTGAATAAATAAACGTACCTTTGTAAGCATCGGTTACCAATTTCGAAGAATATTGACTTGCAGCGGACGAAGAATTTGACAATTTATCTATTTTTTTAAGTTAATAAATATGTATGTTATTAAAATAAATATTATGTGAATTAAAAAATAATAAATAACAATAATACAATTTGTATATGAAAAAACTTACCTTTGTAAATCGAAGTTTTAACAGCTGTAGTTGTTGAGGCTAGATTTGTTGATGTAGTACCCAAATTAATATTTTTTTGTATTATTTAAATAGAAACTATTTAGTTTTACAGACTTTTTAGAAGAAAGTGAATGCATTGTAAGTCTGCAACATTAATAGTTAAGATAAATAAAATTAGTTATAAAATAATATGCTTAACAGATAAGAATTAAGTAGTTCATATAATAATTATCTAGCGAAGAAATGGGTATAAAGTCAATTTTTTGTCATTTTTAAGTATTCTTGTTAAGTAGTAGGAAAAACAATACAATTTAATTGTGTCATTTTTTTGAAATGGTTTATTAAAATGTACATATAAATTATAAATTAGTTTATTAATGTATTATTTATTTATATATAATAAGTCAATTGAATAGGTTGTATTTAATAACTATAGAGTTGAATAGTAACAGAAGGGCAGTTTTGATATTTCAGTTAGACATTTAAAGATTGCATAGGGGCTAAGCAAATGTCAGGTTGCAATTTTATACTTATTTCTTTATTTATTTATTAAATTTATTATTTATTTTTTTATTTATTAGGATTGGGATAGGGGATTATTTAAGGCCTTATAAAGAAGTATGTTGTGATTCAACTACAAAAAATTATGATTACAAAACATTACAAAATGTATTTCAATTTTCAACTACACATTCTATTATGGGTTGGAGTCGGATACAAATAATGTATTTCAATTTTCAAAGTTGGTTTCTTTTTTGCTCCAATTGTATTGTTATGGCTGATATGCATTAATGGACTTGGTTTATATAATATATTCGCATGGAACTCACAAGTCTACAAAGCTCTTTCACCTTATTACATGTATAAGTTTTTAAAGAAGACAAAGACACGTGGCTGGATGTCATTGGGAGGCATTTTACTCTGCATTACATGTAAAATAAAACTTCATATTCGAATCTAGTAACAACTAACAATTACTACTTTAAAAGGTTCATAACAATCTTGATGATTAATTAATTAATTAATTAGGTCAAGAAATGGCAATACTCTCCCCACCAACTCTCTCTCACGACGTCTTCTTCATCACTCCGTCTCTCTATCTTTCTCTCTGTGTGTGTGTGTGTGTTCCTACCAAAAAAACCTAAAACCGACTTCGTTTCACACCATTATGTAATTGGGTTTTTGTTTCAATGGACTCCAACCGACGTAGAGGGTCGTCGCCGGTTAACCCTCACTGACTCTCCTCGATTCCCCCACAATCGATTGGGTTCAACAACGCATCAAACGGAAGCTGGAAGATTTCATCGACGATGACCGCTGCTCCTGCGACATAGTCTCCGTCAGTTGAGAAAAGAAAATCCTAACCCCGACTCTCTTTCTTCCACTGCCGACCTCAATTCCTTCCCTATGGAAATTACCACTTATCATCCTTATTTCCAACCTAGGGCTTCTTCAAGTTCCATTTGTTCTTTCCCCAATTTCACACAATTCTTCATTCGGATGATCTCAGGGGGTAAAACCCTAGTTCTCCATGGAAACCCTAAAGATAACGTCTCAGTGTGGGATCAGAAACGACTACGGGTTCCATTTAGTTTCCGACATCTGAAGGCTGCGTAAAGGCGAAAGAGGAGTTTGCATATAGTCTGTCAAATCCTGGTTTTTCTTGGTTTGTCAAGCTAACTTTAACCCCCAAAACGCCCTTTTCGTTCCTTGCCCAAATGATCGAATAAGATTCTTCCCAAATCCAGGTTATATAACTTATAACCCTATGTAGCTTCATGTTTTCCATCTAAATCTTTTACAAAGGGGTATTAAGGTAATTGTTTCATGTTTGCAGCATCTAAGGTGTATTTGACCGAGCAATTTTCTTACAGTTAGCAGGAATCAATGTCTGTTGAAATGTAATTGATATTTTGGTTAATTTATGGTTTGTGACATCTGTTTCACAACAGGTAAAACATTTTGGTTGAGGATTTGTAGATATTGTTAGAGATGAAGAGATTAAAAAACGTTGTAATGTAATTTCAACATACATACAGAAACCAATGTAATGTAATTTCAAAACACTAACCTGATGTGAATATGAAAATCTTGCAGGAATTAAGAGACTTTTAAATCAAAAGCAGTTGACGTGTGAATTGAAATGTGGAATAGAACTTGTATGGAGCATCTTGATGTAACTTTGCCGAAAGAGCAATCTTAGATGTAATTGAAAGACAAAGAAGACGAATGAGGAATTTAAAAATTATCTCTTCACGTTCTGAGGTATATTTATAGATATAAAATAATTCTTTTAATATTTTTCAAAATATAATCCCAGATTTTATGGATTTATTGTTGTTGAAATTGTATTGGATAATATTGTGTTACTGATTTTATTGGATTTAGTACATTAGAAATCAATTTAATTTTAATATAGGATTTGCATTTAATAAGGGATTACATAAAATTAGGAAACAATCAGTTACATGGACGGAATTTATAGAGTATCTATTATATTGATATCTTTGACTTAGAAATCAAGATATGAATATTCCTGATCTATTGATTTTTGAATGCAGAGATTGATTTTAAAATGGAAAACATATGACGTCCGTGATTCAAAATCAAACTGGGACTTTAATGGAGGTAATTGCATCCTTTTTGCAGACATGTCGTCTTTAGTACTTAATTAAAATTTATATTTAATAAATAAAGTAAAAATATATTTTATTGTCCAGGTGTTAGGGCGTTGAAGGAGCAGGTGTTTGCGATTGCTTGCTCACATGTTGGAGGACATAAGTGTGCACGGAACTTGATAATAAATAGTTCAGTTGAAGATTGAAAAGTGTCTGGACATTGGTAAGACAATCCATAACCATTTATTTATTCTTATTTTTCTATTTGAAGCAGAGTCTATAACATTTACTTGCCAAAGAATGTATTAAGTCATTTTTCTTATGAATACTTTCTTGTGTTTTTGTTGTATAAGGTATGGTTATGTTACCCCAGATGATGTGGCTGAATTGCTTGAACAACATATCAAGAAAGGTGAGATAATTGAAAGGATTTGGAGGTACCCTTTTCCCCTCTTATGTATTTAGCTTTAATTGGTTTTATATCCCAAGTTTTTTAGGGAAATTAATATTGTTAGAAGTTTGTGCATAATGTTATAATGGATATGATCCTATGACCTAAATGAATCAATTGATTAATCCTTAAAAACCATTCATCACCAGATAATGATTTCTACTTGGTTATGTTATTAGAAAATAGAAATGATTTGATAGAAAACATTTAAACATCCATAATCATAGCTGAAGCTATAAAGACGTTAACATTTATAAACACGTAATAATGGAATACATTTTTTGGCTACTATTATGCCAAATATTAGATATTTATTTACAACAGAAAAGACAAACAAATCTCTCATGGAATTGACTATTTTTATGCTTTTGCTGCTACATTTCTTCTCTGACCTTCATGGTCAAGTTGATTGATTTTGACTTTCAAATAATGGATAAGATTTTATTTAATAAACTATGTTTCTGTACAATAATACATCAGATTTTATTTAATAAACTAAGTTTCTGTATAATAATAGTGTGGGTGGTTTATGTGATAAGAATGAGTGAAAAAATGAATGTTGTACCTAAAAAAAATGATGTACGTTTTAATTAAATATAACATCTAGATAAAAATAATGTTTATATTAAAACCAGTCCAATAGATAAATCAACCAAAATGAAAAAAATTAAAATGAACCATAGTCTTAAAATTTGTCCAATAAGTACCTAAATTTCCAACAACCATCGTACCAAATCACCAAACATTATTTAAAACTTAACCAACATGAACCAAATTTATTTGTTTGTTAAACCAAAAAAAAACTCACTTTTCCACTTTTGGAACTAAAAGTGGATTTCCCTCTCCCATTGATTTTCTTTTAGATTTTGTTGAACTGAAATCAAATCCACCATCAACATCATAAATGTCATGGAGGTTGCGCTTCAAATCACCTGATATTTTCATTGGACTTGTTGCGGATGATTTATCAACTGTTGAGGGAGTAAAACTCTCATCCGTTTGTGATATCACATCCTAAATTAAAAAAACATAAGTTGACAATTGGAATAATTAAATATAAATAAAACTTAATGTTGTAATATATAATACCTTTTCAACATTCTGAACAACATCATCTGATTGCAGTGATACTTCATTTAAGGAGACTGATTGAACACTCTAGAAAATAAAATGGAAATATGTAAAACGTTATGTATGTAAATAAAAAACAAATATAAATGTTGAACATTAAAACATTATGTACCATAAGTTCTAGTTTACTTTCCAATTCGGAAACAATGGAGACATCTTCTGTAAGTTTGACAACGGTGTAGATGTGGTGGTTGTCGAGGCCAACAAAATTAATAACCCTAATTATTACACACTAAAATAGTGTATAGTGGTAAAGGGATCGAATCCACGGGGATTGGTTCAATTTAATAACTCTATGAAAAATCTCTTTGTAAAAATACTTGGAAAATGACAATAAATTAAAACTGGGGGTTTTAGTGTTTTGAAATACTTGAAACAAACTAGAATTAACTAAGATTTAAATAGACAATTTCAACAAGAATAAGAGT